AATGATACTGTTGCGTCAGCGAGGTCACGTGACTCGTTCTCTCGAACCTTCGGGAATTGTCAGGAGATTACTAGATATAGGGTAGTCTGGTATATATAAAAAGGTGACAACGTGACGGGAGAATGATGTGTGTAGGTAGTGAGTAATTGATCTGCAGTCACAGGGTATTGTTGAAGTTAACGTTCGTTCGTTATAGTGTTTGTTTTAGCGCGAATGTTGAAATTAAGTGTATCGTAATGTTATATTCGGAAAGAATAAACCAGTTTTATTAAGTAAGGACTTGTGTCGCTAAAGTTTCGTCGGAACGAAGTTACGAAAAATTAATTAACAAACGGAGACGTAACAATACTTTTCTGTGCGGGTCATATATATTATTAGGGACCTTGTAAGCAACAAAGCTGGGGTAACCCCAATAATATGTTTCATAAATAGTTCACGGGTTCCTAGCCGACTTATTACCATTCACAATCCGTGGGTGTTGTGGGGAAGGTCTATGCTAAGAATTACAAAGTTAAGAAATTCAAAAAATAGGTCATAGATCTTAAAACTTGGCTACCCATACAGTTTAAATCAAACAACATACACAATCATCACCTAACAACACGATATAATACTACAACAATGTAATTAACTTTTGTTACTTTTCTATTTAACTCGATAACAAGCAACATCCAACTTCCATCCATGTTCGTAGTTCATTCATTCAATTAGAACAGAAATTTGCTTGCAAACATGAAGTCTGTTATGCCAAAAGAGCGCAAAACAGTTTGTTGATCGCATATTTTTTGTTGTTGTTTTTTCGTTTAATGAGAACTTGTTCTCTCTTCTTAAGATGATATATTTGAAAAAAAAAATAGTTCACAAGAGCACACTATAATTAGGGGCTTCATATACTGATTTTTTTATCCTTCTACTTGAGATTTATTTAATCAACAACCAAACAATATAGTAGATTATGAAGAATAAACACAGAGCCAAGACTTTCTTCCTGTTTCCTTAGATAACGGAATATTACAGGAAAACTCAGCAGAGCTATACACTTCCGATAGATAATGCTTGGAGACGGCCTGAATGGGTAATGAAGAAAAACTTTAATATAAGTTTAACAAAACAGCAAATGT